ACCTCGACTGTAAGCTTGACACCGACTTTGAAGTGGTGAGCGGCGGCACCAAAGTGCGTCTTGGCACTGGCATAGGCCGTCCTTGCGGCAGCGGACCGTTTCCGAGCCTTGTATATTCGCTCGGCGCGGCGAGCAGCCTGGAACGTTTGCGAGGCGGCGCGGCGGTTGCTGGTTAGGGCTAGTTCTGTGCCGGATGTGCCCGGTCTCTTAGATGCTTGCGCCGCAGTAACGACAGTGATGGTTGGATCCGGGAGTGGTTTCTCTGAGATATTAGGCAGAGGCTTCTCCGTCGTAGAATTTGCCATAGTAGATGAAGGAGTAGGAGGGTTGGACTCGCTAGGAGCGGTCTTGAGGGCTGTCTTCCAGAAAGACATTGAGTCTTCTTATATGTTCGCAATGCCAGACTTTGGCTGTATGATGGGCGAGAGACAGAACCGCATGGAAAGAGACAAGATCAGACATGGAGGAAAAGTGATGTTGGTTGCACTTATAGGCAGGATATATCGAAGGAGTCAGACGACAATGTCGGCATCCATGTTCAGCATCACTTCCAGAATTCATGCGGAATACAAGCTCATCCCTGACCAAGCGAACCTAAGATGGGCATGTTTCTCCAAGAAGAAGGTTGTTCTGGGATGGAGGGCATAAAGTCCAATTAAACGCGTCTCACGTCCAACACTTGTGAACCTGCCGTGTGAACTGCGCCAGGTATATCTGGCCATCATGATGAGATGACGAGCTGCTAATAACCGAGAAACGCTTGGCGCATATTGTCCAGAGAGTATTTTGCATTTCTGATCTCGTAGACGCCTTCGCACCCTTCAATGACGTCGCACTTGCGATGACAGATGAGATGAGATAAGATGATGGCTGCAATGAAAGGTGTCTGTTGATGAAGATTGCGGGAGGGACGGGATTGGAGATTCTAGAAGGGTCCGCCAGATCTTCGGGTTGAGTGTTCACTGGCTGGCTGGTCAGGCAGTTCCAGGGACCTGCAGCGGGCCAGCGGCAGGGGAGATGATCGCTCCGACTCTCCGAGAAGTTGAGAACTGACGCTACCGTATAATCTCGAGGAATTGGCGGTCTGCGCTAGCAAGGTGCCCCAGATTTTCACACCAAACCTCTTCGATATTAGCGTCTTTTCTTCCTCGGCGTTGAGCCAAGTGGAGGAAGTTTTGGCAGTCTTCAGCTTCTAATTGGTAAAGACCAGGAGGGCCCTTGCTAGCGCAGACCGCCAATTCCTCGAGATTATACGGTACTCCTTGAACCTCGCCGACCCCGGCCACGTTGGAAAACCCCCACCCCACATGTTGAATTCACTAAGCTTTTGTTGAATTGTCCTCTATTGCCATGTGATAACAGAGTGAAGATCCATGACTCGGACTCGGTGTACGACTCAAGAACACAGCGACCTCAAGACAAACCGTAACATAATAGCCCGTCGCCAGTGACGTTGTCCCACGGAGTGCGTTCCGGATATCAACACAACTGAACACTCCGAGCTCGCTTATTCTCGGCCAAAGCTCTCGACATCTGAAGTCTCCCGGTCCTCACCGCCATTGATGGACCGGATATAGAGGAAGGACTTGGTCTTCTGCTCTGCGTTTCCTGCAGCTTGTTCTACATCCAGAATGAGTACCTCAGCCGAGCCCTCGGGAGAAATACCTGGCGCCCATGACAATGTGCGCAAGAGGCGTCAGCAGTCCTCCGCGTCAGAGGAAGCTTCTGCGGAGCCATCCCAGGTTGTAGCTGCCCTCAATGCCGATCCTAAGGTCAAGAAAACATATGGGCGAACTCCTGATGGGACAGGTACGTGTATCCGGTGTGCAGAGACAGGGGCAAGACATCCAGTGCTAACCGGCGACTCCGTGTTACAGTCTTCATTGTCCCCACGACCCATGATATGGTGTCGCAGCTACTCGATCCTCGCCAGCCGAAGAACCTCTCCGATGTCGTCGTGCTCGCCATCCTGGCCATCCACATCGCAGCTGCATATTACCTACCTGCCAGCCTCACGCGGCCCGCATTTGCTGCCATCTTCCTGTTCTGGAGAGCGGCCTACAATGTCGGCATCGGCTACCTCCTCCGTGTACAATCCAACCATAAGCTGCTTGTAACCTGGGCCAAGAAGTGGAAGCTATTCGAGGACCCTGCAACCGGCAAGAACCCGAGGCCATGGCTCTATCGCCTGCTCAAACGTGAGCTCGAGGCCAAGATTCCGGAGGACTACACTTTTGAAAAGGCACCAATCGAGTACAACACCTGGCTTACCTTCCGGCGAGTCGTTGATCTGATTCTGATGTGCGACTTCGTATCGTACTGTCTCTTCGCTATCGTCTGTGGTCATAAGCCCGAAGGAGAGAACTTCCTCATGACGGTCGCTCGCTGGGCAGTTGGAATCACACTGGTCGGTTTCAATCTCTGGGTGAAGCTGGACGCCCATCGGGTTGTCAAGGACTACGCCTGGTACTGGGGCGACTTCTTCTATCTCATTGATCAGGAGCTCACCTTTGACGGCGTGTTCGAGATGGCCCCGCATCCCATGTACTCGATCGGCTATGCTGGTTACTACGGCATATCCATGATGGCGGCGAGCTACGACGTCCTCTTCATCTCCATCCTGGCGCACGCAGCTCAGTTTGCCTTCCTTGTCGTTGTCGAGAATCCTCACATCGAGAAGACTTACAACCCGCCCCCGCCCCGCGTCCGGGCCGATTCGACCATGTCCGACTTCAACAGTCAGGCCAGCGACCAGCTCTCGGACGTCGGCTCGTTTACCCCGAGCAAGCCCCTTAGGGAGACCCCCGCTCCAGTCCACAACCTTCTGGGACTTGGAAACCTTGATCTCTTCCGCACGACCGACTACTCGCTAATACTGCTCTTGGGCTACCTCGCTGCTGTGACAATTGCCACTCCGCGAACGCCCCTGGTTCAAGGACTGTTCGTGGCGCATGCTTTGTTGTGGCGTCTGTGGTATTCCATTGGCTTGGGCATCATTCTGACACTCCAGTCGGAGGACAAGATGTTCACGAGACACTTCCTCAAGTTCGGCGAGGGCGCCGGAGAAGCCTGGCGGCAGTGGAAGGGGATGTACTACGTCAGCAACGCGCTTTGCCACGGTTCCTTCATCGCGGCGTGCTGGAAGATGTATTCCTTCCCCGCCGACTGGAGCTATGGATGGGTACTCTTGAAGCACGTCATCGGTATCGGCCTGGTTGCCCTTCAGATGTGGACCGCCAGCAGCATCTACGAATCCCTGGGAGAGTTCGGCTGGTTCTACGGCGATTTCTTCTTCGATAGCACCGGGAAACTGACCTACAAGTCCATCTACCGCTTCCTCAACAACCCCGAGCGCGTATTCGGTACTGCTGGCCTCTGGGGTGCCGCACTGATGACCTGGAGCAGGTCCATCTTCCTCTTGGCCATTACTGGGCACCTGCTCACGCTCGGGTTCATCTCGTACGTCGAGAAGCCGCACATGCAGAAGATCTACGGCCGGAACCTGCGCCAGGAAGCCGGGCTCACCAAGTTCATCAAGAAGTCGCTGCCGCCACCGGCCAAGAAGTGGCAGCAGAGCGTCGACAGGGTGCTCGACGAGACTAGGCACTTCGTCGACGACTTTGTCGAGGCAGCCCGTTCCAAGCTCGCGGCCGGCTCCTCGTCCATGGTCAAGGACACGACTGCCCTGTTCAACAAGTACCCCGCCCGCCTCACCATCACGCGCATCGCTCCCGACCTGGCCGGATACGATCCGAAGCACTATTCTTTGTCCATTGAAGGCACGCCCCTGGCGGCCGACGACGAGAAAGCCACGGGCAAGGAGAGCGTCAACGCGCGGGTTCCCAAGGGCGTCAAGACAAAGGTCTTCGAGTACGGCGCGCCCATCCGCGTCAAGTGGAGCGCGCCCGTGAACCACAGCAAGAGGGACTGGATCGGCCTGTACATGGTGACGGACAATCGCTCTAGGGACGTGACGGAGGTGTCGTCGCTTGGAAGATGGACGCCTACTTGCCGCGGTGTATATGATACCAGCGACGACAGCGGCATTATCACCTACGACAAACCTGTCGAGAAGTCGGCCCCTGTGGAGAACGATGTGGTCCAGGGGGAGATGGTGTTCGAGGGCGACAAGCTGTGGTGGACGCAGGGCGTGTTCGAGTTCCGGTACCACCACGACGGAGCGCACAATGTCATGTCCATCTCGGAGCCGTTCGAGGTCCGGATCGGGAAGTTCGACGAGGCGGATGTGGAGGTTGATTCGATGGGGGTGTACGAGAAGGCCGTCGAATCAGCGCTGCTGCCCACCGTGCGGAACTGCCTTGATCGACACCCGGATACCGCGCCTGGCACGGTTGACGAGCCGTTTGGGAGTCTGGTGGAGCGCGACAGCAAGTATGCTCGACGGGTGGTGTACGCGATACATCACATGTTTGGTATCGAGTTTGCGCCTGCCGTGGTCCCGGCGGACGGGAATGTTCGCAAGCTGGCTTGGAGGATATGTAATGCGAAACAGGTCTTGGTGAGTCTATCCTGGCGAGCGATTGCTATGGAATAATGCTAACTTTAGGCAGGCACCATACAGTATGTCACGGTCTAGAGGTGCCACAACGCCGGTGACTGAGGAGTTTCCGGAGCATTTGAAGTGAGATGTCGGAGAGCATGGTTAGAAGCGATAGCGTGGTTGGCATTGGAGATACCCATGCATAGACACATTGGCGGGAGTAGGTGGAAGAAACCAAATCATATGCATAAACAGGCTTAAGAAAAGGCAGGTCGTAACATATTGAGAATAGAATGAAAGTATATATAAATGCTGTGCCAGAGTTAGAGCTTCACTTCTTGCCAATCGTGCGATCATGTGGTCGTGTTTGTACGACTGTAACAGTCATGTCTTACTGCCCTGGGCTGTGTGGAGCCGTTTTAACACCCACTGGGATTCGAAGACTGGATCAGTCTTTCTCCCCTCTTATTGGAAAATAGTGGCTCGCACTTCAACAACAGCATCAGTGGTTTAGTGGTAAAATCCATCGTTGCCATCATCCGATTTTCAGGAGAACTCGGTGACACCTCGATGGGCCCCGTGTTCGATTCACGGCTGATGCATTTTTGCTGCTTTTGCGTCAGCTTTCTTTTATAAAAGGGATACAACCTCAGCCGCTTGTTCCTTCCTCTCCTCTTTCTTCATATAATCATTTTCAGCTCATCATCTTTGCATGATCTTGGACAAGTAATTGTGCTGCTGAGGGGCGCAAACTTTTGCATAAGAGACAAACTACTAGCCCCTGCTTATCGGAGACCGATAAGACCGCTGCCCCGCGATCGCTAGAAATATTTCTGGCCAAGGGACCGCTTGCGCAGGCCCGAACGGTCGACTGTCTGGTTGCCCTTCTGCCCTTCTGCCCTTCTGCCCTTCAAAACAGCACTCCTGTCTCTTGAGTTTGGATCAGACTGTCACTTGTATTCCTTCGAACCATGGCCCCCTCGGCAGATACTCCTGCAAACCAGGACTCTACCATGTCCACAATCGCCAGCCTGCGAAAGTCACTCGGCTCCGAGACCACGCCACTCGCGACCCGATTCCGCGCCCTCTTCTCGCTCAAGCACCTCGCCCACCAGGCAACAGATCCGAAAGAGGCTCATGCCGCAATCGACGCTATAGCAGCGGCATTTGCGTCGCCGTCAGCTCTACTCAAGCACGAACTCGCGTACTGTCTCGGTCAGACGGGCAAGGATGCCGCCGCGCCGTATCTTAAGACCGTTCTCGAGGATCTACAGGAGGACCCCATGTGTCGCCACGAGGCTGCCGAGGCTCTCGGCGCGCTTGGCGATTCTGGCAGTCTCGAGGTGCTCAAGAAGTTCAGGGACCGGGAGGGTGAGGAGGTTGTGGTCAAGGAGACGTGCGAGATTGCTATCGATCGAATCGAGTGGGAGAACTCGCAGCAAAGGAAAGAGGAGAAGTTACGCCAAAGGTATGTTAGGCACCAGATAGGTTTGATTGAGCTTCTAGCTAACCTACGTACAGCGACTTTGCCTCTGTCGATCCCGCCCCTCCGTTGCCCGAATCACAAAAGACCGTCGAGGATCTCGAGGCAACACTGATGGACACAAAGCTTCCCCTCTTCCTCCGCTACCGAGCCATGTTCGCCCTACGAGATCTCGCATCCCCACCAGATCTGCCGACGGCCGTTCCAGCAGTCAATGCCCTCGCAAAGGGCTTTGCCGACCCTTCTGCGCTCTTCCGCCACGAGATCGCCTTCGTCTTTGGTCAACTCTCACATCCTGCTTCCATCCCGGCCCTGACGGCCGCGTTGAGCAATACGGAAGAGGCCAGTATGGTCAGACATGAAGCGGCCGAGGCGCTGGGTAGCCTTGGCGAGGAGGAGGGCGTCGAGGAAGTCTTGAAGCGCTTCTTGCATGACAAGGAGCGGGTTGTGAGGGAGAGCTGTATTGTTGCGCTCGATATGGCTGAGTACGAGAAGGCTGGCGAGGTTGAGTACGCGCTTATTCCTGAGGTTCCTGGGTCGGCGTGATCGGTAAAACTTGGGATGTATCTTTGGGCTCCTTGGGCAAGGTATCTTTGGCGTTTGGTGCTCAAAAACACTTGTTTAACCGGGCTTGGTTGCTGGATATAGATTTCCAATGTACGCCAGTAACGTGGCAGTAGACCTCGTAGTCAAGAGTAGCGAGGCGTATTCAGTTGTTCATGCTCCACCTAGAAAAATGATTAGCAACAGCCAGGACAGCAAGATTTTGTCATATGGCATTCCGTACTTGTGTCCACATTCGCAGTTGTAGATAATTGTCGAGCCTTCATCTGCACTTCGCATCTGCACCTCCTTGTACCGGATTCCAACTGTTCCACATTCGGGACAGTCCATGTTGGGGTCGATCTGGCTTGTCTGAATCTTGTGCCTTTCGACTGTTTGCGTCGTGGACAGCTTTTGCCGGAGGAGGGAAGGGAAGTCGGAAGGTTTGGTTCTCGTTACTATGGTCTTCGACGCAGTATCTGTTTTATTTGTTTAGTGTCTGCCACGTCGGTGTTTCCTCTTGCCAAAGCTCGTCCTTTGTCTGATTTGTTCCCAAAGGGCGCCGTGTACACACCTTTATTTTCCGCGCCACAGCATTCGCAATGGAGAATATTCTTCTCGCTGCCTTTGGAAGCAGGCAGCAGATTGCCGCAGTCCGTGCAGAAAATCAGAGAGCCGATAGCTGCCATCGTGTTATCCCAGACAGTGATATTGTTGGGCTGAAGACGAGGAAAAGAAAGTTCAAGATCGGCAAGTTGAGCTTTCCGTTTGCGACAGGATTTTGGGTTCCACCGGCCCCACCATGATCTGCGGTTCACCAATCACAATGCCATGTTTGTGGGGTGGTGGCCTGGCATGCCGGGGAAGGAGCGACAGGGCTACAACTTAGCGCAAGGCTGGTAGCTGAATGGGAACTTACTCCCGCCAACTGCCACCAGGAAGGAACGACTTCACCCTCCATCCAAACCTCAACTCAACTTCAAGTGACCAAGTGCTTTGTTTCAGGACCTCACTCCACCATTACCTTACCAGACCACCGTATCTCGACCTGGCCTTCGTGGAGGCATGGCTTGTCGTCTTCCACTCGACTAATCGCAGTCACAATTCACTCTCGATGCCTGGGATGCAAGCTCCCGCCCGACAAACAATCTCGTTTCTTTGAACCATGAATTCAAAATAGGCGCTCTGTCCACAATGCCTGAACCTTGGGCGGGGTATGCCAACGGCGTACCAAGCGGTCGCCCTCAGCCGCATCGTCCTCCTCCGTCTTCTCAGCATGCTCAGGTTCCTTCGCGGCAAGACGCTTTCAATCGGCCGTTCACCATCCAGGAAGCTCTTCCTTACACACCTTTCACCTCTATTGCACCGATCCACTCCGGTGCGAACCCCTCGCTCCTTTACTCCTCATATTACTGGCATACCTTACTAATGGCTGGCACAGATATCATTCCTACACCGAATCTGGGGTCGGGATCCCCTGCAACGGAGCTCACTGATGCGGTCGCGACAACCGATTTCGAAGCGCTGAATGCCGAGCTACGCAACGGACAGCCAGCTTCAAAGCGTCTGGAGCAAGCCATAGCAAACTTGCACAATCTCTTGGATCCTAAACGATTACCCGAATAGTGCGTATCTCGAGTGCGGTGCAGAACAATATGGCTGACAGTTCCTTAGCAAGTTCAAGGTCAGCCCAAAGACAACCACCGGCGCCGCGACCATCCCGGCCATGGGTAACAACCTATCTCCTTTCTCCAGAATGGTCGTTGACCAGACTGCCGTTTCTTTTCGGTATCCGACCCCGGACACACCAGGTCTTGCTTCGACAAATGGCCACTCAGTATCGCCTGTCATCGCGAAGCAGAGGTCTCCTGTTGTTCGTAAAGCAGACAAACCAAAACAGAGCCCGAAGCAGAGCTCGATTGCGGAGCTTAATAAGCAGGCGCACGCGCAAAATGCTCAAAATGCTGCTAAGTTTGAAATCATCTTGCCGACTAAGAAACAGCTTGCTGAGGCTGCCGCCACACAACGGGCGGGAAACGATGCCGTTGCAACTGTACAAACCCGTCAAGAAACACCAGGCGCCCCGACTGCTCCAGTCCCGTTAGCACCGGCTACACCAGCCAAGCCACAAGCAAGCACAGAGAAGCCGATTGCGGATCCCATCACTGTAACGCCTCACGAAGAACCGCAACAAGTTGGCCCACTTCCCGTGTCGGAATCCATTCGAGCTCCATCACAATCGCTTGGCACACCCTCAAAAGGCAAGATAGCAATCGAGCTTCCTCGCGACAAATCCTTCAACAAGAATGAGTATCTGGTGGTACCTGATGCGCAGGATGAGCCAGACTCATTGTCTTCGCGAAAGCGGAAGCGCGAGGAATACGACAGCAATCGTGAGCTACTGGGCCAGAGCCTCGGTCATCGGGAGAGGTCCAACGCAGCATTGAACGACCTACAGCGCTGTTTTCAAGAGTTCTTCAATGCCGAGCGGCATCTACTGGATTACCGCTCCAACAATGAGCTCGTATACTTCAGCCTAGATGGAGAGCCGACTCTTTCATCTGCCGCCCAGCAGAAGGTTCAGTCCTTGCTCGGGAAATCCATTGAGTTGAACTGTTTCAAGCAGGTACCGCTAGACGATCTGTTGCATATTGTGAGACTCAGCGAGGGGGCGCTGAAGCATGCTGAGAGTCTTGATCTCAAACTCGACGAGACATGGGGGTCATCAGAAGTTGAACTTTGGTTGCAACTTCTTCCGGACGTTGACTCGGGCTTGAAAGCGGCCCGAACGTCACTACGAATGATGTGTGGTGGCCGCGAAGATAAGCAGCTGTACTCTGAAGGTACCATAGAGCTGGCTCTGAATCTCTTCAAGCACGTTCTGGATGGGATCATTGTTCCGTTGGCGGAGCTGAGAAACACTGGCGAGACCTTCAAGCTGCTCTCACATCAGAAGGAGAGAATCATACACGTGCTCACAACGTGTCAGCGGCTGTTCACACTAATGACGACGCTGATCTCTACGATTGATACCTCAGAGACAGTGATGAACACCTTGGAATTCGCTGCTTCTCGCCTGGTGTTCGTCGAAACTGCTCATTCGGAGAAAGACTCCGTGGTCGAGATTCATCGTTTCGATGGCCTTCGCCTGGTCGCCATGGATATGCTCTCGCAGGTGTTTCTTCTGAATCCCGCGCAGCGGCAGGGGATCTTCGACGATATCCTCATCTCGCTAGAGAAACTGCCGGTCGGAAAGCAGCGCGCGAGGCAGTTCAAACTTGTGGATGGTACAAGCATCCAGCCTGTATCTGCCCTGATCATGCGTCTAGTACAGGCCAGCGCAGGGAAAGTGGACAACTCGAAAGCGAGCAAGCAAGCGATGGCTTTGCTCTCCATGGAAACAAATGATGGCGAAGAGGTTGCTCGCAACGGCGGAAGTGCCGTCCACGCTTCCTCCTTCACTGTCAACACCGAAGAAGAAGGAGCACAGCATCATGGGGCCGCTGTACAGGAGCTTCAAGATGTTGTGAGCCCGCTTATGGACTCGGCCAGGGCGAACGCCGGCTACGTCACCAA